TTTTTTTTCAATAAAGTGGGCCTATTTCTATTTTATTTTATTTATCTATTTTTATTCTATTTTTCCATATTGGAAGGGCTACCGTGATTTTTGAGCCACTATAATCTTAATGAATGCCAGCAGGTCGTGAATGTTTCCATTTGTCAGAGGTTCAAATGGTTTTCTACGGGAGACACTTACACTACCTATCTAAACTGGTAGTGGAATAATGAACGGCGATTTTGAAGGTCACATACGCGGCAAGGTCACACCTTACTTATCTTTAAACTATACTTTTAGGTTGAACTACGCAAGCATGACTGGAAATCCGATACAGTATATCTTTATCAGTTCCCTCGTCCCAAAACGATACCGAATTTATCACCATACTGCCTGAAAGTGGAAACTTTTCTTAAAGTCAACAAGATACCCTATGAGGTAAGCGCTTGGTCTTTTCTATAGAAACTGAAACGATTTGAGGTCCTTAACATCAATCAAATGGTTCGACTTAATCTTCCTTTCAGATTTGCCCACTTAAGATGGGCCGGTCGCGGTACGGTCTACTGCCGTTTATCGAGCTGAACGGGGAACACATCGCCGACTCTGAAATCATTATTGATCGCTTGAAAGATCATTTTAAAGTGAAGGTACATCCAAGTTTTATATTCCAGTAAATCCAAGGGCACCTATTCGATCCAAAAATAGGGTCCCGCATAAGTAAAAAGGATAAAGCTATAAAATGAGCCGAGTGACAAGCAAACGCAACCGTGATTCAAATGGAATTGGAGGGAATGGCGCAAACTAGAGATAGGAGAGCCACCGCTTCTTTCTTTTGCAGTTCAGCAAAACCGACAACGATTAAAAAACTGGAATTCAACATGACCAATGTCCTGTGGACCGCTAAGGACTTTTGAAGGGTATAGAGGTCTTGTGAAGTCCTGTACAAAAGAAACCTGGACCGAGATACATGACTTTAGTGGCACTTCCGGGTCCTAGACAAATTCATGAAAAGGCTGAGCGCTCGATGAGTTTGCCATAATCCGATCCATCAGACCGTATGGATCCCAGACTGGATTCTACCTAAGTCACCAAGTGTTCAGAATCACCAGAGTCATTGCCACCTCTCAACAGCCTTCAATGGGACTAAGTTGTCATTTATTTAGCCTCTCGCATCGCCCAGAGATGAAGGTATAGCTAGGACCATCGAAAGAACCGTTCAACATCACACGGCTCCGTGAGCAATTTCTCTTTCGAATATTTTCATTAAATCTTTGACCATGTTTAGATGGACCTATAAATATTCTTACATACCGCATCAACATCGTTTAGCGTGGTGTACCGGTTCAAAATGGTTGAGGACCCAAACGATGGGTTCTGCACTGCAGTTCTTCAAGTTATTGGTTGTCCTGCTGTTCTATTGCCCACAGTGCTTCCTCTTGCTGCATGGTTTATGAGGTTGAAGGTTCGAATTTGGAGCTCCTTATTCGTTGAAGTTGAGTAACTCCAAGCCAGTATGCATATCAGTGGCCGTCCTCCTCTGGACTACTCCCTTCGACTTAAGATTATTCTAGATAACTTTAAGAATAAATTCAAAATTATTTAGGTCAGTAGACGCATCGCTGCCGCTATCGGTCAGTTCCCTGTCGAAGACTTCAAGAAGTTTCTACAAAAAGACTTTGACACATATCGAGATCTACTTGGTGACAAGAAATTTCTCTTTGGAGACGAAATCAGCTCGGTTAGTCACGATTCATGTTCTTTATTCTCACGTCAAGCATATCATGACAATTAGGGATTCCTAAAAATAATTTGGTATACACGGGGAACCATCACAAATCACCTTAGAACTTTCCGGCGCTGTAACTTACTATTGCATCAGAACCATCAGTAGAAACACAATTCACGATAAGAAATGACTTCCAAGTTTCCTTCTTAGAATGAGCCTGTGACCACGAGGGATAGCACAAGGGCCGCCGTCGGGCCGAAAAATAGCCTATCCAGGTCATAAAAAGGGCCTAGAAACCGACTCGGCTGACGAACAAACCCAAGGCGAATGAGTTTCCACGTTGTAGAGGCTGGAGAGGCTGCATCATTCGCACCGGTACGCACTCATTGCACGCAGGCAGCACACTGTAGCCAGCTGTACGCAATGGCTGCTTTCATAGTCCGCCGGCAGGCCGTCTGAGGTAAAACGAATTAGTTCGTGTAAGAAATCTACGACTCTTGCATTGTATTTCACGGGCAGATTCTTTACGGACGGGTTGGAATAAAATGCAACAGACGTAGATTTCTTACACGAACTATTCCGCTTTACGTCAGCCGGCGCGCCTGCCGGCGGACTATGAAAGCAGCCAATATCAGAAACGTTTGGGCAGCTCGCCCAAGTACCCCTTCCATGCAAATTTTGTCCTCAAGTTCTCATCCAACCTCTAGTTTTGGTACTGTTTTGATGTCGTATAATTAGGGGGCAAGACGAGAACGCGACGACAAGAGCTGCATGGGAAGGGAATGGTGTTTAGCTAATATTTCACCAAATACGCCGATTTTCGCTTTTTCTTCGTCCTTTTGCACACTCTGGACTATCACATTCATTATTCGTCGTAAACTAGTTATCCCAGAATTATCATAAACTGTGGCGTGTGGTGCAATAGGAACGAAATTGTCGCGTCGCGGCGAGAGGGACGCCGCTTGCGAAGAATGTAGCAAAGTGCGGCAGCAAGTAAGAATACAGGAACAAAAGAAGTAATAATAGAATCATGCTAATAGTAATAATCGCATAGCGATTGAGCTGTATGAAGAATGCTGGAACTGCAATAACGAGGCAAGTGGTCCGCGACAGTCGCATGCGGCGGATCGATTACTCAGAACCGTTCCTACTGCCCATCTCTCTAAACTGTGCCTTTGAGCAGTGTGAACGTAGCCTACTGAACGTTCCGAATGGAAACTGCTAACTCCAGTTTCTGTTTGTACAGATCAGGAATAACAACTATTAAACAGTCGACCAAAATGAATATAGAAAACCATAGTATCAAGGGCTGCCTGCCTCGGTAACTAACCGGGGTCCGTATGATCAACTACTTCTTTCTACATCGTTAACAAGTATGACTCATGGAGCTTATTCCATTGAATTCCAGGCAGATTGCGCCGTGTTCTCCCAATTGGCCGCGGTCCTGTATATCCCTCCGAACAACTACGTCAAAGAACTGTTACGAGAAAAGTATCCAGAACTTACCAACTACTGCGATCGTATTCGAGACACGGTTTTTGGAAAAGAGTTTGCTCAAGAATAAAGTAAAGGGAATGTGCCTCTCTCTTTGTTATATTTGTCATTTATACAATACACCGTTTCTTGAACCAATTTTGTTTGAATACACATTCTACGCTGAAATCTGCTCGTAACCCTGTGGGGAAGGTACTGCGGTGGCAGGAAAAGGGAAATGTGGCATTTTCTTAGCAACTGTACAAAGAGTAATGAACCGTGAAAGCTGGGACGACCGCCTCCTAATCTTTGGTGGGGGGGGGGGGGGGGGGGGGGNGGGGCGCAATTCACGCATAACCCCGTAAGAGTTCTTCGCGCGCGCGCAACATCGCTTCAGTACCCTTCTGTTGAGATTGACAAAATAAAATTTGTAGTTGTCCACGGCTTCACCATGGATTAGAGCGAAGCTCTTTACTACGGCAATGAAGCCCTTCGAGATTAAGAATTCAATTCATAAGTCAACAATTGACTTGTCAAACGTTCAAAATAAGAATAACCTCGAATTTTTTGATCCCAAAAAACGAAATCCTTCAGTAAACGTGTACAGTTGGTCTTTTTTTACTTATGGTTTACGAGTTCTTGTTTCTCCCATTATGATGGTAGTTATGATGTTATAGCGCGTCTCGTCCGATGACCTCATTATATTGACGCGTGAATTGCACTACACCCCACTGGTGGTGGCATGCAAGGAAACACGATACGGCATAATATGCTCGAGATGCTCTAGTAAAGCTCTGAGACAAGGAAATAGATGGGATCTGTGGGTATGATAACAAACAAGAGCTCATACGAGCTCATCTTTGCATTCTTGCGGGCCAGATGAGATGCTTTCATAGTACGCCGGCGTGCGTGCCGGCGTGCCAGCCGAGGCAGTGCTAGGGGGGAGGAGGGAGGCAGACTGTCGGTCAGCCCCTTCGAAGGGCTGAAAACAAAGACGAACAAAATCAAAAACCAAAACAACCAGGAGCTTGTGCAAATGGTTTTTGATCTTGTCTCACTTTGTTTACAGCCCTTCGAAGGGGCTGACCGACCGTCTCCCTCCTTCCTCCCCCCTAGCACTGCCTCGGCACGCCGGCGGACTATGAAAGCAGCCACTGTTCTTTTTATTTTTCCAATTGTGATAACCTCTGGTCAAGAACGCTCCACCAACGGCCTAGCCCCCCTCCCCCCAGCATCTTTTACACCCCAATACATACATACAAACACAGATCCGCATTACGAAGAAGTGAGGGGTTCCTGTCCAATAAAAGACCGAGACTCCTAAGTCTTCCTGAGGCGGATCTACGTGTTAGGCATAACCGTTCTGCGCTCGAAAGCCTCCTCAACTTTTCCGTAAAAATTAACTCAGCAAATACCGATGACGATGCGTAATCAGCGTCAGAAGGCCCGCAAATAACAGAAACCTCACTTCGCAGCATTTTGACTGATCATTCGCTCTTCCCACTAGAAGCCTGTTTGGATTATCAACTTGAATGGATGCACCAAGTTGTCATGATAAACCAGGCGGTCCAGCAACCACGAAGCAGTTTGGCCATACGTCCCAGCCAAACACACCACGTTACGCAGTCCTGAGACTGGTAATGCGGTTCAATACTCTAGCAATACAGCAGCGAGACTCTCCTACGGGAGCACCACCCGCAGCTACTATGCAATGTGTGCGCTTCGTTGCGCGCGTCCGTCGAAACTAGGTCATGCCGCAGCCGTCGCTCGCGGCGGGTCCGCCCGCGATACTTGACAAACGTCGCAGTTGTCAGTGGGGCATACTATTTGCGCTTGGTCCGCGGCAGACAGTCAAATAGAAGATAACACGGACAAATGCAAATCATTCGCTCCATTGACACTTGGTAGTACAGTAATGTCATCATGAGACCTCAGTGGGATGCGCCGCACGCGAAGTGGGCGGGGTGACCTACTTTCGACGGACGCGCGCAACGGACGTTCTCCCTATGCAATCACGGGCATAGCCTTTTTGGAATGGTTTGTCGAGGGAAAACGCTTTATTCTGACCGCGCTACCTTTCTGGCCCTTCTGAGATCCCATATCTTTAATTCAGGAACACCACGCGCTGATGCTAAATGGCATTGAAATTAGACATTTTTGACTTCAACAAAATATACCATTAAATAAGTAAGACGAGTTCAGCAGCATATCATGTGGTAAGAAGAACTAAGATCTTGGTGTAAGACATTTGTTGCTTTTCAAATGCCGACAACATTCAGTTTGTCGTACTGTTTTTCGAAAAAAAATTCCTTATCGCTTTCGAAAGCGATCTGTTCATCAGCAAACGAAGAACGTCCATCTACGTTGCAACACAGAAGAATTTGCCTCCTCAGTGTCTGTGTGAAAAGGCGGGGCAATGGGGAAAGGCACTCGAAACTCTCATGATCATCGTCTCGTTCCGTGGCTTTGGTAGAACCACGACGTTCGGTTACAACGATGGTTGACTGGACCGATATAGCTCTATGGATGGCTATCGGCTGCTTTGTTATATATTTGTTCAAATTATTCAGAAGGAAGAAGAAAAAAGCGGTGAGTAGCTACTGCTTGTAACTTTCCTATTTCTTTGTGACAACGGTGCCACCAGTAGCACCAGTGGTTCTAGCTTATAATGAGGTTCAGTTCCTACATTAGATTAGAGATTAGACTTGATCCCTTAGTTCTGAAGATATGAGAACACGATGACCTCGGAGTTCTCAAAACTTGGAGGCTCTTTGCACGTCGCTATGCAGTCATGATGCAATCCACTTTTAACCACATTACTGTAGGTTCTGCCTTCCTTTCAGAAGGATATTTCAGATGGAAATACGTAAGCATGGCTGGGAACCCGACACCGTCTATCTTTATCAAATCCCTCGAGCCCGAACTACGCCACATGTATCGCCACAATGTCTGAAAGTGGAGACTTTTCTGAAGGCCAACAATATACCGTATGAGGTAGACTTGATTTCTTGGACGCTTGCGGTTTTATCATGGTCAACGAGCCTTACAACCACATAATCGCACCAAACCCTTCAGGTCTGTCCCATTCCGCCAGCACGGTCACAGCACGACTTGCTCCCGTTCATCGGGCTGAACGGCGAACATATTTCAGACTCGCAGATCATCATCAAACGCCTCAAGAGCCATTTCAAAGTAAAGGTATGAGCTGCATTTACTACGCTGAGATTCCTCATCACACAATATAAACCTCTAGCGACTGTGAGATCACCTCAAAGCTATTCAACGATTCCAAGAGTCACATTTTGCAAAGCGACTGGAAGGTTCCGCCCGGTACGCTATAAATGAAGGCTGGTCAAGAATGTTATCATCCATAAAGTAGCTCAAAGCAGTATAAACCCTTTGAGGCCTCAAATTGCGATTTTGAGGGCAATTTGACCGACTCAACAAATAAATTGCGTTACGCCGAATATTCAAGAGACGGTCAGTTGGATTGGTCACGGTCAGCGACCTTACTGCCTTTCGATCTTTGCTCGCTGGGGTTATTTTCATTCGAAACGATGAAAAATGGAGGTGATAAGTGATCGGTCAGTGTGTGACCCTTTGTATAATCATCCACACCTAAAAAAAGGAAACGAGTCAGAGAAGATCTGAGTGAATCGTGCGCTATGGGAAGAAAGACCTAATTGGAAACGGTAATTGGGAACTATGGTTGGCAAGAAAGTTCTGCGACAAATGGAAACCATTTCGAATTCATTTCCAAATTTTTCCAGACCAATCAAATTTTGCAGATATATCCATCAGAGAGACTAACAAACTTCTCTTATCCTGTGAGCTAGTCACTGATGCCTTTTGTCCAGAAGTCAAGAAGCTGTGTTTCAAAGAAATCTTCACTTGCCGTTATCAGATCACGTTGAGTTATGAACTTTTCTTCCGTAAAAAGATGCTTGAGAAGGCAGAGCTCCTGACCATGAAAAGGGACAACGTTCCGGCAAGCCGATGATTAACCTGGAACGAAGCGAGTTCGGTGGAATTGACAGGTACTTAAAGCAAAATTTCGACGTGCGCTCTCCTCCTGTATTGGTCAAAAATATGGTTTTGGACTTTTTTGTCCGCGTTGACCGAACACGTGGGTTTATATGGTTAGGAGACAGCTGTGACTAACTAGTCTACGCTTGCAACTCAGAGTGGATGGGTCCCTTTAATCTCCATGAAATTAAGGAACGATGATTGCGTTTCTTTGAGAGCTAGTATCTCTTGAAGTGAAGCGATCCAACCGATTGCTGATCGTTGTTCGGTGAGCAGTGCTAGTAAAAATAGGTTTCTGATGATTCAAGCCGCTCACACGCATTTCTCCTTTGGAATGCCTGAAAGAAAGTGATGGTACAAATTGGAATTTGTCCATTAATTGGCGGTAGTGCTGCAGAAGCCTAAGAAACCTATGTGCGTGTCCTTGTTTACTCATATTTTGATTGCCAGGTAAATGCCTTTTTGGTTTATCCACTTTGTTACCGTGTTCATATTGCTTATACTAATTTGTAAAGCTTTGAATTTTTTGTTCATGATTTTTCTTTCAAGAACTTTCTTGCCAAGCCATAAATTGAACCAGTAAATACAATGGTTAAGTATCACTGATAACTGTTACTTAATGGCATTTGGAAACTCCTGCTCACTTTTTTATAAGCCTTTTCAATCAGTGCTCCTACCAAAGAAGTCGAGATCGGCCAATCCAACTGTACCATGTTTCCGTTCGCCACGTTTGCATGACTGCGATCACTCTACCAACGTCTAAAAAACCGACCCAGTGAGAAAAATCAGTTTTAGGTCAGGTCGAGATGCGCAGTGAACTTCTGACAGGATTTCGGGTAACACGGATAGAACGAGAAGACTCGTTTCATCCCCCTTCGAGTTAAAGAAAAATTTGAGAACCAAATTGAGTCAGGTGTTTGAAGGTGATATATAAAGTTCTCACCAAAGAGCCTAAAATTTGTCATAATAGCTCGAAATCATGAAGTCTTCCATTTCTCCCATATCCGTAGTAGTTGTAGAAAATGTTATGATAAATGAGTTTAGAACAATGACGAGAATTCTCTGCGTGGCGCGATTGGCAAACATAATCTGATGAGAAAAGGATAAGCCTATGTCAGGAATTCACTAGGCCCCAGGAATAGGGCTATTCCACTCCTACCTAGCTGAAATTGTTTTCTAGACGGAACAAAACAAGCGCGCTCGAGGCGATCAATCTACGGTCGCAATCATAGAAGTATAAGGTTAATCGAAATTCTTGGTAGGGTTGAGGTGTTTTCTGTTTTACTTTACAACTCAGCAAACAGTGCAAGCTAATCACAATATAAAAAAGTATCGTTAGTTATAACATTGCACCACTTAATGGGCAGGTCAGCGTTCCATTTTCTCAGAACAGGGAAGATTATTAGTCAAAGAAGTCAATGACCAATGTTTCAAGGTAGTCGGTGACTGCTTTTTTTTTTGCTAGAAAAGCCTTGAAGGTGAGGTAGCAACACCAGGAGAATAGGGTGGATGTGCAACCGTGTCCCAGCCTAGCTCCTCCATTTTTGCACGGGTCTCTTTACCTGTGTGAGAACTAGTATTGTCAGCATTGGGGGGTGCACCGAAGTTCGTCCGGGCGTTTTTCTCGAACAGCTTCCGCAAGTTTCTGCAGCTGACTAGCGTAACAGAGAGCGGTGACGCTATGGTCTTTCTTGAACAATTCATGGTACAGCATTCCTTTTGAATCCCAGGAGCAGCAAAGAAGAAACTTCTTAGGTTGGAGACCAGATTTGGTCCGCGTCGGTGGCTGTTTGCGAGAGCCAACGTCGCGGTGCTCGTTAGCGTCGTAGAGGATCCAGCTTTCTTATTTACTAGTAGGTTCTCGAAAACTCCTTGCAATGTGGGGTCAAGACATGAGGTATCTATCGAGCCAGCACTTTTCTGTAACCGAGAGTAAGGCGACCAACGACTGTTGATTGGGCATACCCGGGTCTCTTCGGAAGACTGTGGCTGTTAACTTCCGGATTCTCTTTGACGGCGTCGAGGATGAGGGCGTCTCGACCGTGGCTCGTGTCTCCTTCCTTGAACCAGCGATGGACCCCAGTGATGGAAGTGGTGTCCTCTCCCAATGCGCTGTTGACGTTGTGGACTGTTTATTTATTTATTTATTTATTTACTATGCGCCCGAAGACGCGCTGCAGTCCGGCAATGCAAGAACTAACGAGACTGCAAAGACATTAGGTTAAGGATCAACAAAAAAGAAACGGAAATTAACAAAAAAAAAACAGAAAAAATAACTGAACATGATCAAAGTGTATATTGAAACAATCCTTTCTCAATAAGCTCACTAATTGAAGGGGAAGAAGAGAGAGCAGAAGAATAAGGAAATGACTTGTTTGCTTGTTGAGCGGTCTGGTTCACTGTTAAAAATTTAGCCTGGACTAAAACACTGAAGTGATAAATAGACAACCAGCCGGCGCATCGAACGCACTGAATACCAACAGGTATGACTCAAGAAGCTCCGGAAAGGAGCGGATAGCTGTGCACACTTAAGATGCAATAACCAAGCGCTACCCAAGAAACAGGCCCGCATCAGTCGGGTATGATGCCCACTCGCCACATACGGGGTCATAGGAGCTTACCAAAACTTCGAGACACGGGTATATCGACAACCCACATGGAGGCGGCAAGCCTGGCAAGTGTTCTGGGTGAGGCACGTGGTAGCAAACGAAATGTGACCTGTGTCCTCTCTGATCCGGAGCCCAGGGGAGACGATAAGTATAATTGTATATGAATCAGACCGCCAGCTGATGTGTTCAGACATGAGGTGTGCTTGGGCAGGTCATGCCCAAGCAGGACCGCTAAACAAGGAGTACTGAGGAATCAGTAAGCGGAAGAGCACGAGCAAGGAGATTTCAAGACACGTCGGCGATGCAAAACAGACTCAAAATATTATATTTCGCGATAGCCTTCTTGAATTGTGCTGAGTTGTCGAACACCAGGAATTGGGAAGGTAACGACTGCAGCCACTTTGCTGTTCGTATTATGTAGCTGTTAGCTCGTAGCTCTCGACATCGGTTGCCCATTTCGTGATTGAAAACATTGAAGGTGCCTCTTCGTCCTCGAGACGGCCGGAATGTCGACAACTGGGAAGGCTTCAAACGCACTTGTCGAAGAATTGTCCATGTGCGAAAGGCACCGAAACGACAGCTTAAAGGCACCGTTTACGATAAATTTAGAGTACCCTTTTTCGACGGGAATTCATAGAACTACTCTAGAATAAAGCGATAACAATGAAAAAAGCGCAAAAAACGATGAACAAAAAGAAATAGAAAGGGTCAAAAAAGAGT